AACTTTTGGTCTTGTTGGAGCTGAGGAAGAGCTAAGCCGTTTTTTTTTTTGTTTTTTTTTTTTTTTTCTTTTTCTTGCATTATTTTGGGAGGGTGTCAGGGTGACCAAATCCACCGAAAGGCGAAAACTATGCATTCTTTTGGTCACATTGCCCAACTGCCAACTACCTCTAATTTTGCCTCCAAATCAAGTTAAATGATGGATAATGTGTAATAAATTAATAATATTGTAAATTATTAATTACTAATTAGCAACTACTAATCGGTAATTACTTATTAACAATTAGTGTATACAGTACTACTACATACTTTGAAGTTTATAATCATGATGGCTATAGACTCGTATAGACTCGTATAGAGTTATAAAAGTTAACAATAGTTAGTATAAGGTTGTGTAAACGGGATCGATGAACTTCCCGGGTGCAGTCGTGGCAAAGCTAGGTTACCAGAGTACCCCAGGGACCACTTGCCCGGGCGGGCCAAAAAATAAAATATAAAAATAAAAATTTATATAGAGGTGATTAGTCAATCAGTGGCTCAGGCAGGGAATTGCTTAAACAGTCTGCTGCCTGTGTGCTTTGCCTACATCCAACTACTTTTTCGAACACAGTTCACCCAACAAGTTGGTTTTCATTTTCACAGAGAAGAAGAGGTTAAATCGCCGTAAAGTTCGCGTAAGCCAAAAATTTATTCGGCTGTCCGGCATGTCTTCAAGTGTTTACTTGTACAGGTATGGGGCTCTCGAGGCATATACTCATTTTAGCACTGTTTTTTACTCATTTCTGGGCAGAATTGCAGCCAGATGCATCCAGGTCCTGTCGTATAGGCGGTCAGATATATTTAAGATAGTTCTCTTGTGAGTACGCCTGCAGTTCCGTCATGCTTCTTGCCTCGTGCTTTTTTCTTTTCCTTGCCTCGCTGTTTATCGTCCGTTGTCCACGGAAACCAGCTCCATTGTTTATCTCTCGAGCTGTCCTCAGAGGTGCGAGCCCGCTGTTGCTCGTTTGATCCAAGTGCTTTTTCACGCGCATCTCGGCAACGGCGTAAATGTCTTCCACCTCCCCCCCCCCAAATGTATAGTGGCTCAAGGCAGAAAAGTTTAGTAGGTTAGAAACAGGGGAATCATATTTTGCTTGACGGAGTTTCGAATCCCTCTGCCGCTAGTCGTCTATCTATTTATAGGAGGTGGTTTTGCCAATATTTGTCACACTTTATTCTCTGTTCCCACTTGTTTTATGGCATTTTTTTGGGCCTTTTCAAATTAGCAGTATTTAACCAAAAAAAAAAGAGAAAAAAAAGAAAAAAAAAAGGAGGATAATGCTGTGTTACAATTTACTTGAATTTAGTAATTTACGCAAGGTTGTGCGGTGCTGCTGTTCCGTCATTGGTCGTCCGGCGTCATCTTATGAATGAAAAACACCTTTCAAGAGCCCAAAAGTCCCAGCACACCTCCATGGATCTTGTGGTTCTGATTTTTCACCCTTGGCTTTTCACCCTTGGTTGTGTGAATGAAAAAAAGGGCCTTGATGTGGCATCTCTTAACTTGGAGGAGATTGGCCCGCAGTTCGAGAGGCATCCAGTTTTTCCAGCGCGAACAAACACAGGTCTGTCTCTCTTTCCTTCTCTGCCAAGGGAGGGGTCCTTTTACCCAATCCTCTTTGAGAGCTATGTTGGAAGGAATGCCCTCAAGGGTGCAAAATTGCAAATGTCAATGTCAGACTCCCCCTCATTCATGTATATAAGGCTACCCCACCCTGAAGCTGCGTTAACTGGGAAATGACCACCGCTCCGTTTTGCACTTTCCCCGGACTCCCCTCATCTCCCAGCCGCTTTCCCTACACTCTCCCTCCCCTTGCCTATCCCTCTCCCCTTCCCTCCCCACCCCCCCTCCTTTCCTCTTTCCCTCCTTCCCCCGTCCTTTCCCCTCCTCTACTCTCTCAGCTCAACTGTGTTATGTCATGGTGTCTGTCAGTATAAACATTTTTTTTGAACAGTCAAATTTTCTCATTGGTTTAAAGTTTAAACTTCTTAAAAGTTTTAACACAGATAAAGATAAAGATAAAGATAAAGATAAAGATTGTCTTGGCTTCTAAAAAAAATTACCAATTTACTAATTTAGTTCATTCACTCATTGCCTGGGTTTAAGCTCTAGAGTTGAAACGGCGAATACATTGGAGCATTGTGTTCCCGATGCTTGATTTGCCTGCCTGTGGACTACACCGGTGTCGGTGTGGTTGGGCCTCGTTCTTTTTCTTTTTTTTTTTCTTTTTTTCCTGCTGTGTATGTCACATTTGCACAGAAAGTTCTTGACAGGCACAAAATCATCTTTTTGAATTTGTTTTTCTCACTTTTCTAATATGTTTCCCCTGTACGGGGCCGGATACCCTACTCAAATGATTTTTCTGCATTTTTTTTTCCTTCTTTTCGTTTTGGAAGAGATATGAGAGCAAAATTCGCCACCACAGGGGCCACTCAGATCCTGCGCGCCCTCGCCATGCCCTCTCCCCCCCCCCCCC